CCAGCCCTGCGCTGTCCTCCGCGAGCGTCGCGCCATCGCTGGACACAGAGCGGCTGCCGTGTGCTGAGGCCTCGGCTGGCCGCGCCTTGGCGTCGCTCAGCCCTGATTCGTGCCGCGTTGCCTGGGTTGTGCCCACATGCGTGTGCCCTTCACACCCCCTCACTAAAGCACTGTGGCTTTAGTTTTGGGGTCTCCTGGGTTTCACCGAGAAGGGTGGCGGGGGGCTCTCCCTGGGCGCGCAGGGGTTACGTGTCCACGTGAAGCTGTCCACAGCTCCTGCAGCACAAGTCCATCCCGCAGGGGAGGCCCCAAGGGTGCAGCCGCCCTCTCCTGTCTCCCCGCTGCTCCCCGCAGCAGTGGGTTTCAGGGGATCCGCCTCTCTGTTCCCCCAGAGAGTCCCCTCACCCCCCACCTCTGGCCTGCACCCCAGCTATTGTATGCACAAATAAATAAAACTTTAATAAAAGATGGGCGACAGAAGTCAGCAGCGGGTGGGAAACCAGGCCCTTGGGTGAGAGCCCAGCCCCGGGTGTGCGCAGCAGTTCCGGGTCTCCCCAGAACCCGCAGCGCTCTCCCCACCCCGGGCTGGCCCCTGGCCCCGTCCCAGTGCGCAGGCTGCAGCTGCAGATTTCCCTCCGGCCCCAGGAGAAAACGGCGGAGGGCTGATGTCCTGCTGCTGCTTGTGCGCCGGCCAGACCAGCACCCTGGGCTCACTGGTGCGGTCAGCGCTCAGCCGGGAAGAGGCGGATGGTCCACCGGGCGGCTCCTGCCAGCCTGGGGCGCCGGGGTCTCTGCCCGGTCTGTCGGCCACACCGTGCTCAGAGCTGTCGCCCTCTTCTGTGGACATTCAGGAAGGGAAGGAGCCCCCCAAGCCCCGGGGGAGAAGCGTGGGTGACCCCACCGTGTGGACAGGGGCCGGGGGCAGCCTGCTCCCTCGTTGAACATCAGGAAGCTCGCACGGGGAGAGCTTGCGCCAGGTCTTGGCTTTGCCCCAGTTCAGTTTGCAGGATTTGAATGAATCCAGACAGCAGTAACTAAATTTCGTGTCAGGACAAAGCTGGAGTGGTCAGATGAGCTGCTCTAGAGCCTCGGAGGCCAGCGCTGGGCCAACAGAGCACTCGGAAGTGAGCAAAGGCAGCGGCTTCCTGACCCATGGGGTCTCCACGGGAGGGGCGAGAGCCACGAAGCTGAGAGGACTGGAGCTCGGCACCGTGCGACGGGGGCGGGCAGCTGTCGACACCAGCACCAGGAGGGACATCTCGCTACTCCGCCACTCCCCGTTTGTTGGAGGGAGTCTCTTGTCCAGCCTGGATCAATCAATTACACGGAATTGAGTGTGCGGGAGGGGCCTTGCACGGAGCCACTCCAGGCCTCCGGAGCTCCTCCCCGCGGCCACCGCCTCAAGGCTAGCCGGGCTCGCGGGCTGCCCAGGCTGGACGGCGCCCTGGTCTGGGCACGAGGGTCAACCCTGGCTCTGGGTCGGTGCGTCTCCAAATACAGACACACTGGGGCGAAGCTGGGACGTCCCCCGGGCCAGACACCCGCAAACCGAAGCTTCCAGAGGAGCTTTCTGCAAAGTCTTGGTTCCTCACCCCTCAGCCCACTCATCACGGCAGAGCCAAGGACACAGCCCAAGGGCTCCACTCGTCGGGACACAAAATCCGATTCTGCATCTCCCTACTGCCCGTGTAGGTCAGTTCCCGGCTAGAATGCCCGTTCCTGGAGGCCAGGCCGCCTGGACGCCACCGTGCTCCCAGAATAGGGAGTTGACGGCCGGCGCAGGCGCCCAGGGTCCAACAGGCGCCCCGAGCCCACGTCCCAGCCTCGCCGCCTCCGCA